CTAGACATTCGCTGTGACCCTCGAATTCGTGATGTTTCGTTGAGATTTAACATGTTCGTGCAATCTCATAGATATCTATACCCTTGTACCCAAACATTATTTGTTCATGTATTGGAATGGAGAGATCTGGTCACTTTGTATAGTGTTAACCCTTCTACCTTCGACGTGACGTGGTTACAATGCTGTGCGTCTGTGCTGTTGAGCTAATGTGTTCGTATTTACAGAGTTTTGTGTTGTAGTCAACTATATTGGAAGCTTATCTATGTTAAATAGCCACTATTCAATCCTTGTGTGCCCCTCGTACTTCGTTTAGATGTTCGCATTTCAAACCTATTTGATTCTTTGCGTACTAAGTGTTGGAGGTCTTGTTGGATGATGTGTGCTCTGTTGCTCTTATTGTAATCTTTTACTTCTAGACATTCGCTGTGACCCTCGAATTCGTGATGTTTCGTTGAGATTTAAGATGTTTGTGCGATCTCATAGATATCTATACCCTTGTACCCAAACATTATTTGTTCATGTATTGGAATGGAGAGATCTGGTCACTTTGTATAGTGTTAACCCTTCTACCTTCGACGTGACGTGGTTACAATGGTAATAATTAAGCACTCATTTAGTGTCTTACGATCAGTAATGGATGATGCAGATTCGAACATGTCTTCATCAGGCGTTGAATATAAGCCTATATAAGCGACCAAATACACGAGATGATTTGCCTGACTCGAATTGTGCGGATAAATGCATTTCTCCTCTAATCATGGCACCAATGGTTTGCTTTATGAATTTTTATTCCTCGGCCATTGCTGGAGTGTACAAAATTGTCGCTGTTTATTTCTCAGCAAAGTTCGATTCAAGTTCAAGAATGGATCGTGTGTTAAAATGATATGGTTCGTCTTCTTGTATAAACTTCGTATTTGGATCATTCCAATGCGAAGCTCCAAGATATTGTTTTGGAAAGGGCACATGGCAGAAAATTATCGGTAATATTATTAATGACATCCTTATGAAGATTGGCAATCACGGCTATGATCAATGATAACAGGTTTGTCCACAGTGACAAGCATTATAAAACATGCTCGTGAGCCGGGGTGGCAACACTATCAACATGGCCACCAAATCATTTCACTATATACCAATGCTAAATGTGCAAGGTATAGCACGTGCGAATACAACAGACATGCTATGTACAAATACAGAGAAAGGAGAACACACACTGATACGCAATGTACTGCAATGGAGAAAAATGACGCATAGATCTGTGGCAATTTAGACTACTTCGCCGTGAACTTGCTTGGGCTAGAAATAGCTTGAGGAGAACCCTCGATGTATGTCTACATCTAGGGAAACGAAGGCCGCCACTTGCTTGAGAGTGTTAAGCGGTCTCGGAGAAATAGAGGCACAGACACTAAGAAAGTTTACTTGGTATCACAAACCAACGAATACGAATTAGTGGCTTCTGAGTGACAAGCGTGAATACTGAAGGTTCTTACAGACGTACGTCCACACTACCTATATTCTACTGTCTACAATGACTTGTGAATATGTGGTACAAAATATCCAGGACTTCCTCTTTATGACCACATGCTTGTTTTTAGGACTCAAACTTGGGGTTCTCCTTCTTGATCGAACCCTACCTTGGGTCTCTAGCCTTCCCGTTTTCTCAAAGCGAGATCACCCCAAATATCCTTACCAGGCTTCTAGTCTAAACCATTTTATTAAAAATTGTCGATAACTACTAAAGATTCGGTCTTTGCGAAAGTACTCGAGGTTTCAACTAGTGTTGCGATTATATCATAGCCTGATGCGAACCATCAGCGAGATATTCGGCGAATGTTTCGCGTAATCTAATTGTAGACAACTTATATCGTACCGATGATTAGTGCAGCCCATTCGCGCAAAATCGCAGGCCTCAAATCCAATAGAGTAAACACTTATGATTGATACATGTCACAATGTCTCAGGGCGGCTTGTGATACAGCTCCGGAGATCCCACTTCATGGACAGCTCAGACTGAGTCTTCTAATCGTACTGGTTTAGTTTTACGGGCTGCAATAATCAAACAGAATGTCGACATCTAGACCGCACATTGTCCGAGATTAGGTATCCCGGCATCACATCCACAAACATACGCACAAGTGGCCGATACTTGGAAACTTAAAGCCAGCCAGAACCAAAACATAATTGTTTAATCTTATTTACTAAGTTTATTGCAATTTTTCTTGAATTACAACCATTTATTGGCCGTATTTATTTCGAACGAGTTGACTTGGCAAATCCGCTAAGATAGACGACCAGGGCCTTTCCGCCACCACAAGGTCTCCAGCTCTGGTAAAGTCGGCAAAAAGCATCGGTTTGTACATATCCGTGGTGTACAGTTGCGGTGTCACTGTACGGGTCTTGCTGGCCTGTGTGTTACCCGTGTTCGACTCAGAGTTTTTTCGTCCACGACGGCCGGAATCAATCGATACCAGATTATCAGACATCGGTTGGGTTATATCCAGGCGCGCGAGCATACCACTATCATAGGAGAATACGTAATTTTCGCGCGTTGGGTCGTGTATGATACCCACGGTATTAGCGTACTTCTTCAGATATGCGCCAGGAAACTTTGATACGTTATCACGCGTCCTGTACAGTAGTTGGTGCATACAAGGAATAAAAAGGGCTTAATTGAGAAAACAGCAACACAGCGACAGATCGAGACAAATGACAATGCAACACTATTTCGGAATGTGTTAAACAGGGCGAGCAGGGAAGAACAAGAATACCAATTAAACATAATATGAGATGACATGTAAGATAAGCATACTTTTGGCGGCATATATTTTGTGCCGAGCTGAATAATACAAGCAAAAAACGTAGTAAATGAAATTACAAAAATGCAGGTGAGTTTTGTCAACATACTTCAACTCAACAGGGAAGAGGCAAGACTAACCAAAGATTAAAAAACGAATTAATTTCCGTTATGTGGGACTGACGGCCCCTTACTGTCACTCAAGGGATCGGAACCATTCTGCGCGCAACAAAACATAGTGTATTCTTATTCATGCGTATGCAAGCTACACATACCAGTCTGATATACGCTTCTGCTTGGTATCAATCACATGGATTCGGTTACAGCTCAATACAAGCACGAGGTCGTCCGTCTTGGGGCGGAAGGACATCGCCGTCAAAGTGCTGTCAAATTTATTTAATGTATAGTGCACAGCACCGGCTTGTAGATCGTATATTGTGATATTCTTGTTCGCGTCACCGACAGCCAAGTATTGACCTGATGAACTCACCTCCAGATGTGTGATGGGACCTAAGTACGTGCATGAGTGCAAAAGAGGAATTGAAAATTTAGATTTGTACAATGACTTTATGACAAACCGTACCAGGACGACAACAAAAAGCATCCACTCCGATATTGGTAACATAAAAACACAAGGAGGAATGCTATACGCCCAGAGCAAGACATGATTTCTACATCAACAGTAACAAATTAGGTAGCCGCGTGGAATCTAACCAATGTCTAAGTCATCAATTGGGGAGTGGTGGAGTGATTGAAACCAAATGGTCACATACGCGACAAGAGAACAGCTCAGAACAAGCGATCTTACTAGATTGCGAAGTCATTAACGATACAGCTGACAGTACTATCCAGATCGCTTCCTAACCGAGGGGTCGAACAAGACGTATCGGGCCTGTAAACATATCAGTAAGCATACACTACACGTTGATATTGTTCCTAACAGACAGGCAACGATAACCACTTCCACTGTAAGCTCACCTGTGCCCTTATGTCCATCAAATTCGGTTTCCACTACCCCAGTTTCTAGATTTAGGACTCGAACGACCCCGTCTGAACCCGCGGATACCAGTTGGGAGTTGAATGGCGTGAACAGAAGCCTACAAGGAGATAAAACAGTAACGACCGCGTATAAGCATTACACTGAAGATCATTTACGGCATATTCAAAATCGGATCGAGTTCAAGTTTGCACGGGAATGGAAGATACACTTAATGACTGAAATGTGAATTGGTATCACGATCGAATTCGAGATAGTATACATAGCTCGTCATAAGATACAAAACGAGATACATTGTTCATAGACTAACAATTATTTTACAGCAACATCAATATGGTGCTGGCAATTCACAATAGTGTGCTCAGTATATATATTTCTTCCGTCGTGCAGTTATGAACAAAAATCACGATAACCTAAAACTCTTCCAAAAACTGTACAAAAATTGATATATGAACACTATTCGCAGCCTGCCATTCCGTATATGGCCAAAATAAGAATTCGCTGTGAAAATATAAATATATACATACATACACTACATTCAAACACTTACATAATTATATATATATATGTATATAGATACACCCGCACCCATCCGCACACGTATATGCATATATACATATGTAACCGTACACCTATATCTAGTGGTAAACGCCAGACTCGATAGGCCTCTTATTGAACAGAGACGAATCGCGACGTACAGATGGAAATTTGAGCCTCATTTCCAATTTTTAAGAATTTCGTATATATTTTGAGCCTCCACTTATATTGCGTAAATGTGCACAAGCCCAGGTTGCCGATTACCAAATACGTCCACAACGAAATATGCGAAAATATACAGAACCGCACCCACCGAGAAAAGAACATCACGTAATGGGAAAAAAAGAAAAGAAAAAAGAAACCTCGCCCACCATGTTGCCAAACGACAACTAATCACTTTATCTTGCTAAGCGAGATGTGCAAGTATGTTGTGGTAGGACTGTTTACCTGTGACTATATACTTCGGAGAGAGCGTTCGTGTCCGACTTAGTGATCTTGCATCTGCGGCCGGTAGAGTCGTCATGGTACTGTAAGTGGAACACCTTAGTGCTGTCTACGTCCGACAACGCAATATACTCACCGCTTGCTGAGATATTGGAGCACATCAGATTACCATCGCCCTGAAGATACATGAATACATACAATCAGTACATAAATGCCAGTACAGCCGATTACTATGGCACACTGCTGCGACTACGATCAGAAATAGGGTTGAACAAGAGAAGCTAGTTTAGTCAATCTCCATAAAAAAAAGATCTAGGTCAATACTCGTGGTTGTGAAGATGACCATTCAGGTGCCTGCTATTTTCGAGAGCAAAACTCATGGTAGCCACCAATACTCTGATGCTACACATGCATACACTTTTGTAGTAGATTTGAATAACATATCTAAGCTCCATTTCAGGTACAAAGTAGTATACTACCGAGGTATCTAACAGTGGCTCAATTTCCTTGTGATTGTCGTGGTGTGCCATACTATGTACAGACACGGCTTTAGCTGAATGTCTGTTGCTAAGAATATTTTAAAAAGCGCGAAGACGACAGATACATATTTATAGATTGTCATATCCAATTAGCAAAATTGTATCAATACACGTTCAAGATTAGTAAACCATTCAAATCTAGCGGCACGTTCACGTTTACTGACCTATCAAGACTTGGCATTGGTATGATGGACACCGTTATTGTGCATATAGATGCAGGAGTACTAGTGATCGATAAACTAGTGGACATGTGGTGTTCAAATCTTTCATACAGAACTCCCTATCAAAAGTGTCTTGATCGATACATTAAAAAACCCCATCTATACCCTAAAAGTACGAAAGTACAGCATTCTACGAGGCTGTTATATATGCTGGGTACGATATGTGCATACCTGTGTAAACGAACACGGGCATGCGGATATGAAATAGAATTGGAGTGATGTGGGGGCCAGCCATGCAGCGAAATACTACTAAACACAGACACGCACTTCATGCAGATAACGACTCCACACTAATTCGACCATACTCGACCATTTATGGACTGAAGTTAATTCAAGAGGTAAGCACGCCTGTGCGCAGTAAGTAAATAACGGTTGCTGCAAAACCCAATACAAGCAGTGCGATGGAGAACTTGACCACACACACACACGCACACACATATATATAAGCACACATACACACACGCACATAATATGTATATATAGATATACATGTATATATATATATACAGATATGCAAAAATATAGAACACAAGATATATAGAAATAACAAGTCACAAAGAATAACATATATATTGATGTACAGAACACAGTCAAAACCACACAGAGAACGCATTTTCTTCACAAGTGAGAGGCAAGTTCAGAATATGACCAGTGCATTATACCGGCTACAACAAAACACTTGGACTGCCGAAGGTCGACGAATATATATGTTTCTAATACATCTATAAATAAAATCTACAAATACATAAACATCAGTCGATCTGATTATGTTCCAACACCATACGTATAGAAATAAAATCCAGCGTACCTTAAGAGATAGCTGCGCAACCATGGCTGGGTTTCGCGTCACTGCCTCCGCATCTCCACTTCCCAGTCGCCACAACTCCACGTGGTTTGACAAACGGCACAACAACATATCCGACTTTCGCGCTATATGAATGATGGGTGAATGAGGGAACGGCGGGATCCGTCTGGGCGCTGAGTTCTCGAACTTACTAGTATTGTACACCACTAACTGAGTGTCCACACCTCCAGACACAAGGGTTGCATCATTCGTCGACAAGGCGAGTGCACGTACATCATGGGTGTGCACACGCATCTTCTTCGCAAACACCCACTTGGCCTGACCCAGGCCATTCGCATTCCTCGCCAGTTTGTATTGCGCTACTTTATTATCTACACCGGAGGCATACACCGTTTTCTGACAGGAACTCACACTCAAGGCCAATACATCGGCCTCGTGCGATTTGAAGGTCTGTGTGAGGGTGCCAAACGCACCGTCCCAGAACTGTGTATTACCCAGCGAGTCTCCGCTTATAATTGTAAAGTCCGCCAGCACCGCAATAGCCCATACGATAGTACTTTCTTTGAGGAAATCAGCAATGGTGATATGCAGCGTAGACCGTCCTGATGCGACAGACCACTTATGTATCACACTATTCGAAGTCCCACTTACTATTACCTGTCCATCCGTATGCCAGGCAAGCGCCAGGATACGGCCCTCGACCTTGTCAAAGCCCTTTTCAAACAACAGACAGTTATTTGCGATATCGAATAATCTCACACGCCCGTCTTCGCAGCCAGCCGCTAGCATTTCTCCCTTCTTGTTCGCTTGCAAACACCAAACTGCACCGCCTGCGGTGTCTATGGCCTGCTTTGAGGTTAAGGTCGCCAAGTCCCATTCGACGATATAGCCGTCTAGACCAGCGGAAAACAAGCGCGTACCGGCCCAGGCTATGGCTTCTACGCTCACATTCTCACCCCCAAGTATACATCGCTCCATAACCCAATCAGCAACATGCCATATCTCGATGTTTCCATCAGCACGCGATACGGCGAGTAGACTGGAGTCACTGTTGAATGCGAGACAGTGGATGGGCTGAGGTACATATTCTACAAACTTACACCTGTGTACACTCATGCTGGCTTTATGTCTCTATACGCATGCAAGGGAGTACCTGTAATTTATCTTTGCGCTACTCGCTACTTGCTACTTGCAGTCTCTTTGGCAGGTTGTGTTGTAACGATTGTATTGTCCAAATATTTACCTGTGTACACCTAGGTTCTAAAACTCTATATGACAGAACCGATAAAGCAACGTGTTCAGTTCCTTCCATTCCCGTCCCAGGACATTTGGTTAAATATTATAAATAGACATAGTACAACCTGAGGTTATATTTTATGTGTAAAAAATAATAATTTAAATATGAAAGCGTTAACAAAAGCTTAATTTTTTTTTAGTCCCCGAATCCCTTCAGAGCTTACATATCAAGAGAGAATTTTGTCACGGTTTTAGCAATTCCGTCTTTAACGTAATGCATTCAACGCTTTCAAGTCAGCAGCTATATTTCTATAGAGTACATATATAAGTGGTCAGAGACTCTGATCAGAGACTCAGACTCAGAGTGCGGAGGACTGAAGTCTTTTTTGTTCTCTTACATTTGGCGCCGCGGCCCGCGAGTCCCATTTGCGAGTCCTGAGGTGCGAGAGTCGAGACTGCGAGTCCACTAAAATGTAGATGTCTAGTGTTTCTTTTTCAGGGGGGGGGGGGGCTTATGTATGGTCAAGTTACCAAAACAAACCCCTACCATATTTTAAATTTATTGAACAAACTCTCACATCTCTCAGCCGACAGCAGGGGTGGAAATACTTACTTTCCAAAAATAACGTCATAGCCTTCATCAATCTGAACACAAAAGCAGTTGTTTTTTTCCATTGAGCCACGTGTATTTGAACTAGTACCGAACATGTCACAAATATATCTTAATTTCATTGGGCGATTAAACTTTTTTTTTCGCTTCGAACAGATCTAAAGTGATCAAAGTCCGATAAGATTTTTAGATTTGATTTGATTTTTTTAAAGTTGTGAAAGGTCTGTACCACCAATATACAATATAGAGATGTCAAGTTCTGTCTTCCAAGCTAGCTGAGAGCATCCATATGAGAAGCCTGATCTATAATGTAATAAAGTACCGTATGCCATTGTGAATACATATCGATATATGTATCTATCCATCTATATATATACATATATATGTGTGGATATATATGTATACATACATATTTATAATAGGACTACAGTGCGCCAATATAGCTTGGTCGGTTCATACTGCTCGAGTGTGCTTTACCCCACAAGCAGTACCATGGAGTACAATGCAGCGTGCACTATCCAGCGGGCATGGAGGTGCAGTTTAGCCCGAACATTTTGCAAAACGATAAGAAGACGTATACACATAGTGAACGAGATCGTGGAGAACGAACGAAAATACGTATCAAATCTTGCGTATATTAGTATACTTTACGAACAGCCACTACTGAATTTACTGCAGGAAGGGAAACCCCTGGTGTCCGGGGGGACAATCCAAGCAATATTTAAAGACATTCAGAGAATATTGAAAGTACATACAGTCCTGCTAAGGATTATAAATGGCCGGCTTAAGTCTTGGGAACATGACAGCACAATTGGCGATTGTTTTGTGGAGATATGGAATGAGTAAGTCAAACACTATCACACAAAGATTGCAGTCATCTCACCGTGCCTGCATATATCTTAATCTTGTAAAGAGTTTCGGCTTGATTTTCATTGAACATTACTGATTATAGTGGACATATAGCCGTTGCTTTTGTTCCTAACACGACATACTACTACAAATACATATTTTTTGCTAATATGCGTATACAAATATGTAGGAGTACATAAAATTCTTCTACACATATATAACCACATACACACTAAAACACACACACACACACACACACCCAGTTACAAACACCAGCATACGCACACACACACACAACCACTCTTCCTCATCCACACACACGTAACACACATAAACACACACACACTATGTGTATATATATTCATTTATATATATATATATATATATAATATTTAATATATATATATATATATATATAAATAATATATAT